CTTTATAAGGACTTCATTATTAAATTTAAATGATGTCAAATTTACAAAGATCTGACAATATTCTTTAAACTCTTTGGCTTCTTTTTCTTATTTTTTATTTAGTCTAAATTCTTGCTGTATCTCCAAAATTATAAATCATAATAATTGCCACTCATCAGGGAATTTGCCTCAGCATATGAAAGACATCTAATTCTCTAGTTCAGCTATTTTAGTTTGCTAGGGCTGCCATAACAAAATACCACATACTGAGTAGCTTAAACAACAGAAATTTATTTTCTCATAGTTTTGGAGGCTAGAAGTATAAGATTAAGGTGTTAGCAGGTTTAGTTTTTCTTGAGGCTTCTTTCCTTCCTTTGCAGATGTCCTCCTTGCTGTGTCTTCACATGGCTTTTCTTCTGTGTGTGCTCACATCTCTGGTGTTTGTTTTTCATGTACAAATTTCTTAGCCGGGCTCCTGTGAACCCAGCTGCTTGGGAGGCTGAGGTTGGAGGATCACTTGAGCCTAGGAGTTTGAGGCTGCAATGAGCTACAATTGTGCGACTGCACTCCAGCCTAGCTGACAGAGCAAGACCCCATCTCTAAAACAAAAAGGAAAAAACCCGCAAATTTTAAAAAAAGGAAAAATCCCATAAACTTCTTATAAGGACACCAGATTGGATTAGGACCTTATGACCTGATTTAACCTTAATTATCTCTTTAAAGCTCTTATCTCCAAATATAGTCACATTCTAAGGGCTTCATTCTTCATTTTAGATTAGGGCTTCAACATGAATTTTAGGGGTACACAGCTCAACCCATCATCTCAGCCTTGCAGATAAAGCCCAAATAATTTATCGACCCACTCTGAGTTTTCTTTTAAATGGTTCTGTTCTTTTAGACAGGAGTTACATAGGTATTTAAGTATCTTCATTCTTTTTTGTAGAGGGATGGGGAGCCTGTGGCCTTCTGATTTCAAGATTGTTCTTTTTTAAGCACCAAAGAAGGCAAGAAAAGCTTCGTCTTTCTCTGCTGTACCCCTTTTAATAAAAGGATTTGTTCTGTAACATCTGGATTCAATCAAAAGCCTGCACTTAAGGACCTACAAGGCCACATGTGGCCTTAAGGCCGCAGGTTCCCCACCCCAACAACTTGCCTTTTTATATCCTACATTAGCCATACTGCAAGTTGCCTACATATTTCATATCTTTCTGCTTTTTCCTACATATTTAGTGAAATGATTATGTTAATCTTCCTTTTTAAAATATTAAGTGGTATAGTATTTTTTTCTTATTTTTCTGAAGATAGTTGATTTGTGCAGGAAGAACTATATGTATGGTATTGTTTTCTAGGTCAGAATAAAAAGAAATAGTGGATGCCTTTCTAATGAATGCATCTACTATCAAAATTCATGTACTTAAAAAACTTCATTCAAATTTTATGGAACTTAATGTGCTATACTAGATAATTTATAATGACTACTAAGTAATAAGTCAGAAGCTTATTTCTTCATAATATTGATCTTTAAAATTTAAGATCTTAATTTGGATAAAGAAATGTATATATAAAATACAAATAAGTAAAGAAGTATGGTTGTTCACTATGAAGTGTAATGATTATTGTATGATTTAAAACTTAAGTTTTCTACAAATATAAAAATAAAAATGTCAAAAAATGTTTATTGAATTGATTTTTAGGCCTTATTTAGAGGCATGAATGAATTTATATGATATATCAATAATTTTTATTTCTAATAACTGTATGGAAAAATCAAGGAAATTAAAGTACACTTTGTAAAGATGGAATCAATGGAAGAATTTGAAGGCTTGGATTCTCCGGAATTTGAAAATGTATTCATAGTCATGGACTTCCAGGATTCTGTCTTTAATGACTTATACAAGGCTGATTGTAGAATTATTGGACCACCAGTTGTATTACACTGTTCACAAAAAAGAGAGGTAAGAAATAATACACATATATTATGACTTTTCAAGGTTACATTTTTATTAATTTTTAATTAGCAGAAAATTCATAAG